TACAATGGTCAAGCACAAAAAAGGGAAGTGCAGTGCACAAGAACCATAACTCTATCTAAAGTAATTACAGAGTTATTGCCCTTTGTTGCTTTTCCATTGCTTTTTTTTCTGTCCGGACCATAACTTGAAGACTAATAGTTGGAATTCAATATAACTACATACAATGGTCAAGCACATTGAGAGGAAGTGCAGTGCATAAGAACCATCACTCTATCATGACTAATTACAGAGTTATTGCCCTTTGTTACTTTTCCTTGTCCGGGGCATAACTTGAAAAGTACTGGTTGGAATTCAAAACAACTTCATACAATTGTCAAACACAATAAGGGAAAGTGCAGTGCACAAGAACCATAACTCTATCTAAAGTAATTACAGAGTTATTGCCCTTTGTTACTTTTCCATTGCTTTTTTTGTCCGGACCATAACTTGAAGACTAATGGTTGGAATTCATAATATAACTACATACAATGGTCAAGCACATTGAGAGGAAGTGCAGTGCATAAGAACCATAACTCTATCTTGACTAATTACAGAGTTATTGCCCTTTGTTACTTTTCCTTGTCCAGAGCATAACTTGAAAACTACTGGTTGGAATTCAAAACAACTTCATACAATTGTCCTACTTTTCCATTGCTTTTTTTGTCCGGACCATAACTTGAAGACTAATGGTTGGAATTCATAATATAACTTCATACAATGGTCCAGCACATTGAGAGGAAGTGCAGTGCACAAGAACCATAACTCCATCTTGACTTATTACAGAGTTATTGCCCTTTGTTACTTTTCCTTGTCCAGAGCTTAACTTGAAAACTACAGTTTGGAATTCAATACAACTTCATACAGTTGTCAAGGACATTAAAAGGAAGTGCAGTGCACAAGAGCCATAACTCCATTTTGACAAAATACAGAGTTACTGCCCTTTGATACTTTTCCTTGTCAGGAGCATAACTTAAAACGTACTGGTTGGAATTCAAAACAACTTCATACAATGGTCAAGCACAATAAAAGGAAGTGCAGTGCACAAACACTATAACTCTATCTTCAGTATTTATAGAGTTATTGCCCTTTGTTCCTTTTCTTTGTCTTTCTGGACTTATTACAGAGTAATTCAATTAAACTTCATCAATGGCCAACCACATTGAAAGGAAATGCAACATACAAGAACCACAACTATCTTTAATTGCCCATAACCATAACTCTATATTTCAATTCTTTTACAAGGTATTCTGTTACTAGTAACATCCTCATTTCCGAAGCAGTCTTGTGGGGGTATTAATCACATTTAGTGATAGGTCTAGTTTTTCTTCGAAGAAGTTAAGCTTAAAACAATACTCTTGAAACAGTTTCTACTCAATCACTTGAAAAGTCAGTGACAGTCTGCCAAACTACTTACCATTATTGCTACTAAAATTGTTTGCAGTGAAATACCAAAACAATTAATCTTTGAATAATTTATTTAAAAATCAGTAAAATATATTCATTAATTATAAAACAATTGAACACATCTAGCCGTATAGAAGTTAATCACAGATTCACAAAAAAACCACAACAGTCTGAAAGTGATGAGCCAAGTCATGACAAAACCAACATAATGGGTTTGCGACCAGCATGGATCCAGACCAGCCTGCGCAGTCTGATCAGGATCCATGCTGTTCGCTATCAGTTTCTCTACTTGTAATAGAGTTGACAAGCGAACAGCATGGATCCTGATCAGACTGCGCGGATGCGCAGGCTGGTCTGGATCCATGCTGGTCCCAAACCCATTATGTTGGTTTTGTCGTGACGGGGCTCATATTGTTATACATGTAGAAAGTGTATCAAGGAATGAAAACAACATACATTGCATATACATTTCAATACATTAGTGGTTATATTTTTTGTTACTATAAATAAAAAAACAACAATTTATGTTGTATCAGCAGTCCTTTTTCCCCTATCAGAACCTAACACAGTGCTTTCAAAACATAACTTTATTTTATTACAGTAGTTAAAGCTGCATGCCTCCAGATGAGCCAATATATTTAAAGAAAATCAAACTTGAGAAAAAAGTACTGAAATTTTTAAGAAAGTAAAAAATTCTAAAAATCACAATTTTCGTGTTACATGCTACTTATGACTGAGTTTGCAGTATTGTTTATACTACTTTACTAACACATTAAAGGACTATCTCTCGTTTGGTAATTTACATGGGTCGTAAGTGCTTTTTGCAATTTGAAAATTATTTTCTTTGTTCACAATATTTTACTTTTTAATACATTTTTCAAAATTTTCATGAACATAAGCATGAATTTGCAGGCTTGCTGCTTTAATGTCAAACATTAGTTGTATAAAATAAATAATATAAAATCAGTAATACATGTACTTGTAGCTGGAATTCTATATTTACCAATATCAAATCTTAGAATTAACTTTTGACTTTAACAATGTACGACTAGACAGAAATGTTAACTAATGAGTAATTTTTAGTACAAAATGTTTAAAAGCGCCTAAGTTTTGGTCAAGTAACAAATTTTATAAACAGATCAACTTGATACATTCAAATATTAGACCAAAAAACATAATATATATATAAAAATTAACTGCTTTGGTAAATGTATATCACAAATTTTAAATAATACAGCAGTACACAGTCATGGTTTAGTGAATTAATTTAAATCATAAATAACAAACTAATACATTTTTGTTATCATATTATATCCTTTTTCTTCATATTGCCTCTTTCATGCAATATGGAATTATTCAACAGTATATGAGTTTAAATTGTGGCCAAATTGGCTTTTTTTGGCTCGTCAAACATGAAGGAATATATATCAAAATAATCTAGTATGTCTAAAACTATGTTAATTAATGCATGTGTATTTGATATACAAATTTCTGTTGCATCTAATCACATCGCAAGCAATCTGTGTAAAAAATTTAACGTAAATATACTATGTCACAAAAAAAACAACATTTTGGCCAAGATTAAAACTTAAAAGTTATAACAATTCAACTTATTTTAACCATTTCTATCTTACAAATATATGTACCAATTTGTTTACACAAATCTCCTAACAAAAAATTACCAAGGACATAGTTGAAAAGAAAAGTCTCTGCGACTAATGCAAAAATTATATTGATTAATCAAGTTCAATGTTACAGTGAATTAATGCAAAAAATAAAGATTACAATTAAATCACTGAAGAAAACTACTTGATAATTCTTTCCATAACCTTGTGAAGCAACAGACACATCATAAATTTGGACAAACTTCAAAATAAAATCACAACCTGAGATTACCACAATATTTTGTTATTGTAACTTTCCTCCTCCTATAAACTGTAACAAACTAGAACTGCCACTATCATGGCGTGAATACCCCCGCATACCACTTTGTCAGAATCAACAGTGGCCATTTAGAGCTCAAGGACAACCTCCCTGCCAAATCTGAGGTTACTAAGCCAGTGCATTGCTAAGTTATGTATTCTACATGCTTCAAATGTGAAAATGTCAAAATCAATATATTGCGGACAGGACATTCTTTAACAATTGAGAAGAAAAGCTTTTTTTGTCAAGGTCCCTGTGACCTTGACCTTTGACCCAGTGACCTCAAAATCAATAGGGGTCACCTTATAGTCATGACCAACATCCATGCCAAATATGAAGACTGTGGGTCAAAGGAATCTTAAGTTAATGGGTGGACAAACTTTTTGAAGTCAAAGTCCCTATGACCTTGACCTTTGACCCAGTGACCTCAAAATCAAAAGGGGTCATCTACTAATCATGATCAACATCCATGCCAAATATGAAGACTGTGGGTCAAAGAATTCTAAAGTTATTGGGCAGACAAACTTTTTGAAGTCAAAGTCCCTGTGACCTTTGACCTGGTGACCTCAAAATCAATAGGGGTCATCTACTATTCATGACTAACCTCCATTCCAAATATGAAGACTGTGGGTCAAAGGAATCTTAAGTTATTGGGCGGACAAGCTTTTTGAAGTCAAGGCCCCTGTGACCTTGACCTTTGACCTGGTGACCTCAAAATCTATAGGGGTCATCTACTATTCATGACTAACCTCCATTCCAAATATGAATACTGTGGGTCAAAGGAATCTTAAGTTATTGGACGGACAAGCTTTTTGGAGTCAAGGCCCCTGTGACTTTGACCTTTGACCTGGTGACCTCAAAATCAATAGGGGTCATCTACTAATCATGACTAACCTCCATGCCAAATATGAAGACTATGGGTCAAAGGAATCTTAAGTTATAGGGTGGACAAGCTTTTTGAAGTCAAGGCCCCTGTGACCTTGACCTTTGACATGGTGACCTCATAGTCAATAGGGGTCATCTACTGATCATGACTAACCTCCATGCCAAATATGAAGACTGTGGGTCAAAGGAATCTTCAGTTATTGGGCGGACAAGCTTTTTGAAGTCAAGGCCCCTGTGACCTTGACCTTTGACCTGGTGACCTCAAAATCTATAGGGGTCATCTACTAATCATGACTAACCTCAATGCCAAATATGACGACTGTAGGTCAAAGGAATCTTAAGTTATAGGGTGGACAAGCTTTTTGAAGTCAAGGCCCCTGTGACCTTGACCTTTGACCTAGTGACCTCAAAATCTATAGGGGTCATCTACTAATCATGACTAACCTCCATGCCAAATATGAAGACTAAGGGTCAAAGGAATCTTAAGTTATTGGGCGGACAAGAAAAAACCGACGGACAGCCGGACGGACGGACGGACAAGCTGATTCCAGTATACCCCCCTTACAACTTTGTTGTGCGGGGGTATAATAAACTAATTTATCACACACCTGTGCCTATTTGCCCCTCCGTAAAAATGGTATTGCACGGCAGTGCATATATTTTGACGTCATTAGCGTTATACAAACATAGTGTAAAGACGTGCTAAAATTATTGTTAGCATTATACTATAGGCGCGTCACTTGAAACGGTCATTATTTTTGGTATGTGATAAAAAGAATATTATATTCATATAATGAATAATATGAACTCATTGAATAAAATCATATTATTCTCGCCAGAGGCTCGCATAATATAACTTTATTCAAATCATTCAATAAATTCAGTATTGAACTTACACTCATTCAATATCCTCTATGTAGAGCACTGTTTACAACAGTGACTACCACTACCATGTTATATAATGATGGAATGTATGGAAGATTGCACAAGATCATCACATGATTGATAAGATATCAGTTGTTCCAGACACTACCAAACATGGGCATATATTGTTGTTCATTTTCTTCTGTTATACCAGCTAACACGTCACCTGTTTGTGATGCAACAGCCTAAAAAAAGCAAAAATAGAATTCAATAAGACAAACTGATAGGTTTTTCAAATCAGAAGCTAACATAAAAAGGTCCCATATTAATTAAAGGCCCATTATACCCCAAGAAATGCTTTCATTTTTATTTCTCAAAAAACATAATGTGCCTTTAACATTATTTTGGTTGTGTCAAATTCAAGCAACACTATAGAAGGTCATATGACAACTTCCAAGATTTAACAGGAGGGCATGTAGAATCACAGATCTTCTGTAAATAACAAGAGGAACAAGACTGTTTTATATTATTTTAACCTTTGAATTTGAACTTCTGTTCATATAAACCTATGAGATATGGAATAACCCTTATCTAAAAATGGATTCATTTTTAAGTCCTAATCACCAAAAAATTTAATAATTGCTATGATTTTTTTTTTGGTTAATTTAAGGTTGCCAAGATTAAAAAATATGCAAATCAATCAAATAGTGACATCATAGATGAAGGGTGTCGTTTATTTATTTAACTTTTATGGGTTTTATGTCACCGACAATGTGAAGGTGATATGGTGACATTCCAGCTTTACTGGAGGAAGAATACCTCACAGGCATATTGATGAAAGAAGTTCCTGAGTGGAACCACCAACCATCTGAAACCTAGCTTAATAGCTTCCTCAAATGAAAGAATTTTTAGTGAAGTGGTGGCTTAAGTGGTTAAGGTATCTGCCTCTCAACACAAGGATCATAGGTTCGAGCCATAACCAGGTCACAACTATGTTTCTTCATATGACACCAGTGCTGGTTGGCATCAGGAAGCGGACACAAAAGTGATTAATATAAGTTGCAAGAACTTGTTTTGCAATTGAGTTTAAATAAATATTTTTAAACGAAAGAATTTAAAGTCCATAGCAAGATTCAAACTTGCACCTCTCAACAGCAGAAGAGACTCAAACTCAGTGACCTTAACTGCTCAGCCATGGAGGTCATGGGTTTTAATTTTTACCTTAAACTTCAGCTGTTTGATGCAAAGTTAATTTATAGATCATATTCAAATCTGAAATATCTCAGTAAAATGTTTTTCCCCAATGACAATTTCAATACTTTCAATATAAATCAATGCATCTAATTTTTTTCCAAATTTTAAGGATTCTGCTCACTTATCTCAATAAGGAGAGCATCTGATTAGTAATAAATGGGTTGCATACATGTGAACTTTTATTCATGATCAAGTGGGAGATTTTTCTTCAAAAAGAAGGAGATTTTAGAATTTGCAATAAATAAAGAACGAAGTTCTGACATCAAAAATAGGGAGATTTCTTTAATTTGTGAAAACACCCCTTATTTTAAGAAAAATCTTTGCAAATATGGCTGCAGAAAGTGGTAGTCTCCCGCTAAAAGTGGGAGAGTTCACATGTATGGGGTTGCTGGTTCTAAACTCGGGCAAGGTGTACTTTCTCTTTGACAATTGATCTCGCCAACTGAGTCTAATTGTCATTTGCATCTCACCTTTGATGCAGAAATCATATAGTCGGTCACTTGCAGAGAGAAATTCGTTATGACTGTTAATTTAGTTATCAAAGGTGTTATTTATCCAAGAGAACTGATTAGGTATATCCAACCCCAATATATGACCATGTAGTAAAATCAGCATTAAAAAATAAAAAAACAAACAAATCATAAGGGTAAGGGAACTGCAGAATCCTTATAAATAACATATCAGTACCTATATGTAGCAGCATAAACATAAATTGCATTTACAACATACCATCCTTGAGTCAGAGTAATTCATTTGTTGTGGTTTCATCACATAAGCTGAACCTGGCCTAGAGAAGTGAGCATATTCTGATTTTGGTATGGTAGGATCTGGAGTTGTTACCTGTTCAAGAAAGGTAAAACTATGAAAGTTTATTTAATAAATGAGCTGCGCCATGATAAAACCAACACAATGCGTTTGCGACCAGCATGGATCCAGACCAGCCTGCGCAGTCTGATCAGGATCCATGCTGTTCGCTTACAAACCCTATAACAAGTAGAGAAACTTATAGCCAACAGCATGGATCCTGATCAGACTGCGTGGATGCCCAGACTGGTCTGGATCCATGCTGGTCGCAAACACATTATGTTGGTTTTGTCGTGAAGCGGCTCAAATGTTTATTTAATGCAATATATTAGAGGAAGAAACATGTAGCCTACAATGAAATGAGGACTTCTCTGCTTAATTGATTGAAGAGAAACTTTGATGCTCCACTGAGGATAATTCAAACACTAACAGGCATCTTAGTAAAACCACTGACCTCCAAGGTAATAATTCAGTTTCCTCAAGTCAAGTAATTCAATATCTTTAGTAAATAAAATAAGATTCAAACATACAATAACAAGAAATTCTACACAAGCAACATTCATCTCCTTTCCTTCCATCATCCATTATCATAATTTTATGGAAGTTAAGAAAAGATACATTTTTGCTTACTGCATTTTAGACTGAACTGACATTTTTGTCAGATGAACCAAGGAACCCACCTTTTTGACAATATCCATGTCAATAAGCTGTGATTTAATAGTTCTTCTACAACCTTTAGCAGCAAAGAATGGCCATATTGCATCCATAGCTGAGGCAAAGTCTGTAGCTGTCCTGTAATCAGGTACATGTATATACTTTTATCAATACAATAGTTAATGATATCATGTAATCAATATTAAATAAAATTAACTTTTTTTTAGATTTCTACTTGAGATTGCCAAAACAATGTTAACAAAAATAATTTTTACAAAATAAGAAAGAAGTCTGTTCAAATATGGGTTGTTTCACAATACAAAATAGAATATACATGCATAACAAATGTTGAAATATTTATAGCTTTCTTAAAATATAACTAAAGATCTACACTGGATAGAAAATAAACAGCTATTTAATACAGACTACATCTGAAGATCTAAAAGGTTTTTAGAACAGTTTTACCCAAAATTCAGTTTTCATAATATATAATAAACTAAATTATATGATATATTTAACTACACAATTGATACTGGGATCCTACATATTACCGGACAAAATATGATGTTTTTTCGTTGTAACTTTTATTTAAAATAATGGAAAAGAATGAAATTTTACCCAAATAATTGTGGGTTCTTAATATAAGTAAAAATTCCTTTATCAAACATAAAATTAAACTTTTGACCGTAGAAATGTGTCTTTAAAGTAGGGCATTAAAAGAGGAAACAAATCGTGCAGACAACTCAATTTACCGGACATTGTGTTTCAAAATATTTTGAAGTGTTAAATTGAAATTAAGCAAGGAAACTACGAATATTGAATGGCAATGTTAAGATACTGGAAAAAACAGTATGTCACTAAAATAGACACGGCAGCCATGCTTGTTAAGAAGAGGCCAATATAGGGGTTTAATTGAAATAAACACTATTAACTCAATTAACATATTGATTCTTCATGATCCTTAATAAAAGTATGACACATTTTGATATTCAAATGGAATTCTGTTCTTTCTCATACAGTTTCCTTTTGATCATCATGTAGCATGTTGCAAAAGCCATAAAGTCTATTTTTTTGTACATTTCATGTAGAGTTTCCTCCCATGTGCGTAACCCGTTTCCTTATATGTTTTTTAATTTGCATTTCTTTGTAAAAGACAACAACAAGATATTGTTTGAACGAAATTTAAAATTATTTTTTATCCTTAAAATATGTTACGATTGTCTCCTGAGTTAACTTTGAGAAGAATTAAAAGTAAAATCTATCTAAAATAAGTTAAATAACCCATTAAGGGCCTCAATATTCGGGAATGCGCAGAACAGATTATTCCCCCGCATGACCAGGTCATGGAATAACTAGTAAACTAAAGGGTATGTTAGTAAATAAAGAACTGAATCAACAATATTTGCCTGAGAGTGGTTTTGTTGTTATTTACTTTGCAGTAGAAAGTGTGTGTACGATTCAGACCGGATGATTTTTGAATTGAAGCAAAAAATAAAGCCTTATTTGACAGGAATAGATTTTGTCCGGTAAACTGATTGTCCGGTAAACATGTAGGATCCCAGTAAACAAAAATTGTATAAAACAAATAAAACTTAGTTTCAGTAAAGCATCTTTGATCTTGTTGGATCAGTTGAAAATGGACTTGTTTCATTTAAATGAAAATTATCAATGTTACATATCTTAGGTAACATGTTTTTCATTTATGTGATAAGATATTTTAAAAATTTACTTTCACTTCTGGCTTTGTAATAAAATTACATGGTGTAAAAGTAATCATACAGTTTGTACCTTCTACCTTGCAACTTTTGCAAATGGTGCATTTGTACATAAAGCTCACTGCAAATGACTAAGGGAAGTAAACATACATTGTTTAGTATCAGTTACAGTTACCTTCCTTGATTGTCCTTTAAAGTGAGATCTGGATCATGTTCCATCAATTTCATTATCACCTTCCCATGACCTTGAAATGCTGCTGAGTGAATTGGAGTCCAAAGTGTTCCCTTGTTTGCTAAATTGATATCTGCACTAAAAGATATTTATATACAATATTCATTAACCCTCATTAATGACACCAGTACAAGTTAATTTCACAAAAGAACAAATAAGCTATGAGCTATAATTAATTTTACTCAATTAGAATTTCTTTTGATCTGCAAAGGTGTTGTAAGTTAATAGTATAAAACAAAAATAAAGATTGTCATAAACATAAAATTGAAATTGAAATTATTGTACATATTAAATGTATGTCTTCATGGTTGTTTCTTTAGCTATAAAATGTAATGACAGTTACCCATGATTTAGAAGAAGTTCAACAATATCAGCATAGCCCCAAAATGCTGCAATGCCCAGTGGAGTCATTCCATCTTTCGATCTTTCATTTACATCTCGTCCTTGGCTGATCAAATTCTCAATTGCCTGTTAATGAAACAAAGATTATATTTAGTCTTAATATTCATAAATTGCATTTTATTTCAAGAAAAACAGAGATGTCCAAGGACTAGTGCTCTCCTCTTTGCTAAAATCAAATGAAAAACTAAACCTCATAGAAAAATTCGAATTATTCCACAAAGGTGTGGGTCAGAATGCAGAAGGATTTTGGAATGACTATAGAGTGCCAAATGAGAACATGTTGGAATCTCAACAGTGACTAGTTACATTTCCAAATTTCAGCTTTCATATGCCACACTGAGACCAAAGAAACAGTCATTCAACCTGATATATTAGCCCTGCAAAAAATGTATGATATCTTATTGAAGATTACTGACAGAGTTACACAGGGTTTTACACAGATTAAGTAACATAAAACACACTTTGATCAGTAGAGGTGTGTGTCATTTAGACCAAATGGAGAAAGTTGAAATCATTAAGTACCTCTGTAAGAAAGGGATGTCCCCCTAGGAAATCCATGAAGACTTCATGAATACACTTGGGAATGAGTCCCCTTCCTATCGCACTGTGAAAAAAATGGGCTGCTGACTTTAAGAGGGGCAGAAAGAGCTTTGGAGATGATCAGCGGCCTGGGCGGCCAAAAGAGGCCACCAACGATGACAATGCCGAAACTGTGCACAATGCGGTCATGTGTGACGAAGGTGAGACCTGTGGAGCATTGCTAGGGAAGTGGGTATAAGGTTTGGTTCAGTTCAGGCAATTCTGACTGATGTCTATGGCATGTTAATGGGTCCCCAGACAGTTGACTGATGACCAGAAACGGACCAGGCTTGACATTTCAAGATATCTTTTGTCTCGCTACGAAGATGAACCTGATTTTATCTACCGGATCATAACTCAGGATGAAACATAGGTCCATCACTTTGATCCAGAATCAAAAAAACAAAGCATGCAGTGGAAGCTACCTGGCTCACACCCTCTGTAGAAATTCAACAGGGTGACATCAGCAGGGAAGATGATGGCTTCAATTTTCTGGGATAGTCAAGGGAAAATCATGAATGACTTGAGCAAGGTTGTACCATAAACGGTATGTACTGTGCAGATGAATTGAGACGTCTGCATCAAGAAATCACACGTAAAAGGGGGGGGGCAAACTGACTCAAGGCGTTCTGCTCCTGTACGACAATGTGCCAGCTCACACATTCCAAGTTGTGATGGCTGCTACAACTGACTTCGGCTTTGTAATTCTTTCCCATCCACCATATTCTCCTGACATGGCCCCCTCTGACTTCTACCTGTTTCTGACACTGAAAATCAGGCTTCGTGGTAGACGTTTTTGAAGCAATGAAGGTGTCATGGTGGCAGTCAATGTGACATGAGCTTTAGCAACTCTTGTGCTACTACGTCATCACCAAATACAGGCCAGAATCTAATACACGGCCATCTCCACAGTGACATGTCAATACCATGTACCACTATGAACAGTGATGCCAAATCTCACACACTGACTCGAGTCAGTCTGCACAAAAAAAAATAGAGTAAAATTGTCATTTGATGATTAAAACTTGGGATAAAGAGGATGATTTGGTTGCTTTCCGAATTTAGCTTGATACAGCCTACATAAAATATTTAGCATACAATTGAGGTCGAAAATAATCTGGTCCGACACATTGGCAAGCAAACAACAGGTGCGATGAACCGAATTTTGTTAGACAGACTTTTGCCTCACATATTCTTTGTTACTCAGAAATAAATTGAGCAGTACTTTTGAATATTTACAAAGAAAAAACAAAAGTTTAACTAAGGGTGACTTAATTTACCCTCAAATCTCCGTTGGCTGCGGCGATAGCAACCGACATGGACGCTGCCATTTTTGTTGTTGTTGTTTTCACATGATAAATGCCGTTTCATACCGTGACGTGCTACCCGTTATATATCCGTAAAGCAGATTATACAGACTTTAAAATATTGGTTATTTAAAAACCTGTGTTTTTAATATAAACTGGGGAGTCTGGTGTAGTAAAGCTCACTTGGCTTCTAAAGCAGACACAATGAGTTTGAGTAAGGCACCCGGGCCACCTCGCTTATTGACGCGTCTTAATTACAAGGCCTTCAATTGATACTTCGAAAATTATGGTCATTTATCTATATGACTAACTAGCTTGGATTCCAACGCCTGATGAATCCCAGGCTTATGTCTAACATGCATTTTGAGAAAACCAGGGAATTTTAATGCATACTTATAATCTGCAAAATTGACTGTTCTTTGTTATTTACCCTGAGGACCTGTTATCAGCAGGAGAGTGGTATAATGAAATCAGTCCCTCTCAGAAAATACCAATACACAGCATGACTTGAGATTTTCCTCTTCAATAAAAGTATTCCCTTTATACATTAAATTTTTAATATTGAAATCATGAATAAAGTTATCAAATTTATTTATTTTATGGATAATATTTAAATTATTTATATCTTTAAAACATAGGGAGCCTATGCAAGCATTACACAGTTGAATACTAAATTATCACAGTATATTGATTGTTTTAAAATCAATGTATTAATATATATATTCTCTTTCAATATTGAACATGAGGAATTGAAAAGTTATACATTATAAAAATAATATTTTAGCTTAAATATAAACCTTTCCTTGATTACTGATTTGTTTGAGCTTATGAAAAAAAAAGTTTATGTTGTTACAAATTAAATTAATTGGGCCAGAATTATCACATTGATTTTCCGATTTGTACACTAGAAAAAATGAAATACATGGCCATTAAAAAAGGCTTTAAAAACACAAGTTTATTTAATTATCCATTACAGAGCATATTTAAATTTAACCTTATTTATTCTATAAATTTGATTTTAAGGGGTACTATTTTACACTTACAGTTAAATACTGGTTAAATAAAAAATAATAATTTTAAGCTTTAACATGATATCACTTAAAATGTTAAAACTGCTGATTTTAAAATTTACTTATTTATTTTCATGAATAGGCCATATATTCCCAAAGTTTTTTTTCTTACAGCAGCTAAACAATGGATGCCCCCTGTCACTTGATATGCAATTATCCAATAAACCATTTAGGTGTCACCTTCCCTGACCAGCCTGGTCATATGGTCTAGTGCACTAGAAATGCACACGGTGTGCACTTCTAGTTCAGCTCTGGAACATACGATAGTACATCCCAGTTCAGCTCTAGTGCACTAGAAGTGCACAAGGGTGGGAAGTTTAGTGTGAACTCAACTGTAGACTATCTATTTCCTAAATAAAATCAACTTAAGCAACATTCCAGATAAATACTTTCTCTAACACATAATTTTTCTTCTTTCTGCTAGTTCGTTCGTTTGCTTCTCTGTGCGTTTGTTTGCTTCTTTGTGTGTGTGTTTTTTTCTGGGACACAAGATGATAAAAGTCATTTTAATGTCCGGGTTTTTTGTTGTTGTTGTTTTCTCTCTCTCGTGTCTACTTTCGTTTTTTTCTTTCATACATAACTGACAGGCATCGGTTATGGATATGAAACGTCTTACTAATGAGAGACATAATGAGTTATTTAATGGCAAAATCTCTTTTATTTGAAAAATAATATGTGAGCGGTTGTCGAAATCAGGAATATTATATGCATGCATTGTGCATGTAACATGTATATAATTCTACTGAAATATAGACTTTCCAAAAAGACTATTTATAACAAAACGATACTGTACTTGTAATAACATTTTGCAAGTCCTACACTCGATTTGATCCCTCTCAGTTTCTGATTATGAAGAGTGCCCGGGAAAATGGCAAGTGTAACATTGTACATGTATATAGAAATGATATAGTTCGAGTGTTTTTTTATATACATAATTATATATTGTTGTTGTTGTTTTTCTTCAAATAAACCCGTTGATGCTTATCATGATAAAAAGGGAATCCTTAAAGAACGCATAAAATGGCAAACTTTAAAATGTTGCAGAATCAGTTAGATTGAGCATGGTCGTGGGCTTTAAGGGCTGTATGGATGGTAGTGGTAAATGCAATGTGCTGCTTTACGTCTACATGTACAAACAATACCAACTAACAATTTCTCATCTTTATTATGCATATAATTTTGAATCAGTTAAAATGATTATTTTTATCTTTATTATTATTATTACGTAAAACTTTTCGCGTCGCCACGTAATTAATGGCTTTTACACCACGTATTACTCTCGTGTGTTCACGTAACAGATATCGCGTGTACACGTAACAGATATCGCGTGCACACGTATATATCTATCACGTGGCCACGCAATAGCCACCACGTAATAGCTATCGCGCACGAATGTAGATTGAAGATTTCCTATATCCTCTCTATGCCACCTAAATAAATAAGTCTTAATTGAGTTCAAACCCTGCCAGGGGCAAGTCGTTGTTTCATTGAGCAAGAAACTTTACACACATTGCTCAGTACTGGTTGGTTCCAGGAACGGATTCGAAAGTGTGTCTATAAGCTTATAGCTTATACAATCGAACTAAAATAAATTCTGTATAAACCAAATAAGTCTTAGCAATAATTAGGTATCTCTGATAATGTCATTAAGTACGGAACACGCATGATCTAATACTTTAGAGATTCCAATGTTTTTCTGTTAAGATGTTTTGTTATAAAGGCATTTTACTACATTATTAATAAGCAATCTCATTTTACTCATCATTGCATGACAAAAGCCTTAGTACGTCCGTATTAAACTTTAATAAATAGTCCTGTATGTGACAATACAGTCTATTAGCCCTATTGAGTGTTAAAAGCGATATTCTAACACGACCCGCATTTTTCCCTATTGAACATAGAAGAACAGAAAGTGTGTGTTATTATGCAACAGATGCACAGTTTGACGTTCTATATTTAGACATGTGACGTAATCATTATACACGTGACGTAACCACTAAAAATCCGACGCGCTGAAAATAAGTTCGGAAACAAATCAGGCGCAATTTTGCTTAACTATCAAGTACCGCAACATTTATTTGTTAATGTCGTGTTAGAATCGAAATAATATATCCAAATCAGTGATTTTATCGCTTGATAACATCACTGTTTGTCGTTCGGACGCGCATCATTATATCACTCGGGCTACGCCCTCGTGATATAATTCCTCGCATCCGAACTCCAAACTGTGATGTTATTGAGCGATAAAATCACTGTTTGGGATATATTATTTCTTAAGTCACAGGGGCAGGTAATCCAGACTACATCTGAAGCTTACTGCAAACCGAATTTCGGCTGAAATATACATGCACGTAGTAAATAGTTCCGTATGGTCGGTAACAAGTTAAGAAAATCCGTACCTTCATTCATTACAGGAGGGTTATCATACATTTTGAAATGTATCATGATGTCGAAAATTACAGTAAATTTGTGCTGTGTACAGAAAAAATATCAATGGCCGATTGAAAAAACTTGACAGGTCATTGAGGTCAGCCATGTTGATTGACTTTCTTTATTAATAACAACACCAAATTTTTAAAAAAAATTGAACAGTAATTTTTCTTTTCCTGGGTTTAAAGAGGAAAGCTTTATGAAAACTAAAAGCCACCCTGTGATAAATTTTTAAAATTTTGTTTGTAACAGGGAAACCCGTTTCGTACCGTGAGATTCTTTTAAAACCGAGTTCGCCCCACCAAAAATTTAAACATTTTTTAAAATTCTTTTGGGAAACTGAAAAAATTTATTTTTTTAGTTTTTTGCTTTTTGTTTTTGAAATTTTTTTAATAAAAAAAAATTTATCGAATTTAACTGTTTAAATTTAATTAAAAATTTTTAATTTTTAAATTTTTGTATATTATAATTTTAAAAAATTAAATTTAATTTAAATTTAAACTAGAAATTTTAGATTGATTTTTATAGAAAAAGTATAACAGAAAATTTTGTTTTTTTTACTCAATTAGATTTCGTTTCTACAAGCAGTTTGTCATAAAATTGTTTATTTTTATTGTTCTTTTAATCTGAAAAAAATAAAAGAAATTTAGAAAATGCAAAAGAAAAAGTAAAAGGGTTTTAATTTTTAAAGGGGTTTGCGGGGGATTTATTTAGGGGAGCTGTAGGGGCGGGAAAATTTTTAAAACCCCGGCCCCTGTTTGGGTTTTAGAAAAAAAAATTGATTTCGAATTTTAAACCTATTTTTAAAACTTTTTTTTCATACGGGTCACCCATCCAATATTATCTCAGTGTCCCCCCGACAAAATTTAAATTTATTTACACTAAAAATTTCTATAAATATATTGACCATGGTTTTTGTAGCATGGCTTTTATATAATTGGAAAGTTTGGTTGTCCCAAAAAAATTATTTTTTATTTTTACAATGGGCTTATCAAAGAGGAAAAATCATGAATCCCTTTAAGAACACCCCCAAAATGACACAATTGAAAAATGTTGCAGGCTCGGTTTAGTTTGAAGGGAGTTAATAGTACTGGAAAAAATGCAAGTTAAATTGTCCTCGCCCCCTAGCACATACTGGCCTTAAAAGGCCAATATTGGCCATAGAAATATCCCCCAGAAAATGATTTTAATTGTTTTTTTCAAAAGCCTTTGTTAATTTTTGGTGGCCGTGGTATTAACTTCTAAAAAATATAAATGGGCAAATTATCTTGGAACCAACTTTGACTAAATGCTTTTTTAGCAATCAGTATAGTTAAGTGATTTATGTATTTTTATGGAAGTCAAAAAACTACTTTGTTTACATGCAAAACAGTAAGGCCTTACATGTTGTGCAAGTCTGTCCTAGAGGAGGTGGTCTGATTATTCTGATTAAGGACTTTGGGTTCTCACACTGACATACTGGATTAAATTTACTTTGCCAAATTCAGTTTTTATAGGCTAATTATTGAAATCTAAATCCAAAAGTTTTTGAAAAA